GGTGGGTTTATTTGCCTGCCAGATGGGAAGTCTGTGACCAGCCCCTTTAAAACAGGTAAAGGCAGTAAGGCTTCTCCACCCACTTGCCTTGATCTTTCATCATAACTGTGGGCCAGGCAGGGAGGTTGTGCAATGTGTGCGCTCCAGTCAGGAGGCTGCAGGAGAGGTTCATGCACTGCGAGCAGGAGCCAAGGCTCAGAGGCCTGAGCCGGGAGAGCGGGCAGGGGCTGGGAGCCAGCCCTCCTCTACAGCCAGCATGGAGCTGAGGACCTGGAGCTGCGGGATCGAGCTCTCCCTCCGGCTCCTTCTCTTCTGGGCCCTCCTTCCTCCCGAGGTGCCTGGGAAAGAAGGTAAGCATGGGACCCACTGGTCCCTCTGCCTGGAGGGTTGGGCTTGGGTGGGCAGGCAGAGAGGGACCTCTCTAAGGGGCAGGGAACAGGGCCTGGCCAACACGCGTGGGGTCCCAGGGGCACCACAGCTCGCCCGGAGGGACTGGAGAGGGGCTGGGGTGTCTGGGGAGGGCAGGTGGGTGTGGCGGGATGAGGGCCAGGATCAAACCCCATCCAACTCTTGGTGGCTCAGTGAACTGAGCCCAGGTATGTTCCCCCCCAACTCCTTCCCAATTGAAGCACAAATGCCTCTGCATATCCAGTGATCCAAGATAATTCTGCTTCTGTTTGCCTTAAAACACAAGCGTTGCAGATAACAAGTTTAAACACAAACTCAGAAAGTTTCTCCCCCTGCCACCCGCCCCAGCCAACACCCCCACAGTTTCCTCAGGCAGCCCTCTTGGGAGTTAACCCTTGTGGGCAAGAGGACAGTCATTTTTTTGGAGGCTTGAAAGGTGAGACAGCCTCTTTCATCTACCCCAGTGTTGGAAGGTAAAGCTGGGCTTTACAATTTCCTCTTCCACCTCTTCTCTTAAGACTCCATTGCTTCCCTTTTCTGTTCCACTTAGTCCCTTTTATTAGATGTAATGATCTTTTTTTCTTCCATCTTGGCAGTTGCACAGTGGTTATGAAACATCTGGGGAATGGGATTTTTAATAGAGAGGTGAAGAAGAGTAAATCTCTGTTCTGTTCCCTACCTCCTTCTGCAGTTAATTCCTGCCAGAGACTTCTAATCTCTGTTTTGCACAGCGAGAGGCGTTGGGGCTTTTCCATCCCAAGGACGGCCCTCTCCTTTGCTGCTCCAGGCTCTCAATCGAGAGGACTTAGTCATAACTGGTAGTTCAGCCATGGGCTCATCTCAGATCTGCGAGTGCTGAGTGCTCTTTTAAAGCATTCTTGACAAGCACATTTGTATTAAGGATCCAGCTACATGGATGCAGCTAGCAGACATTGTGGAGAAGGCCAGCCTAGGTGAGAAGTAATATAAGGTAGCGCCATGCAGGCTCTCGTTTCCGTAAGTGTGTGACCAGTAGTTGGCAGTAACACTCGGGGACTTCTCTGCCTGCTTCTCCCCTATCTGAACCATCTCATCTGGGCTGTGTCTGTGATCCACTCTTCCTTAACACGTCTATCTGGGAACAGCTCATTTCCCTGGCGTCCTCTCTTATCTGAAGTCTTTCTTCTTTTTGGGGAGACCTCCTCCCATGTGGCTGGACAGCCATGTGAGATTCCTAGCCATGAGGCTGTGGACCGGAGAGCTAGTAGCCCCAGAGTACTTGTATTCCCTGTGCTCTTGTAGTCTTGCTGACTCATTCTTCTTTTCCTTGGAGAATCCCTGTTGTGGGTTTCACTTTGAGAAGTGCTTCCTGAGAATGGACTTCAGCCCCTCCAGTGGGCACCTGGCAGCTGAAGGAGCTGCTACTGGCAGTGCAGTGGCATGGCTCACGGGCTGTGCCAGGTTCCCGTCCCAGCTGCTTCCGAGTTCCTCTTCCCTTGCTCTGCTAGAACTTGCCATGCAGCCCCTCTCACTGCCACATCACTGCTTCAGGCCTGAAGTGCGTGGGATAGACATTATCTGGGTGACAGTTCTGGAAGGACACGCTACCTCACCCTGAGAGTTTTTGGAGCCAACAACACAAGAATAGTATCTCAAATAGAGAGATTGAGAGCAGAAGGGAAGTGAGTGAGGAGCCTTGTCTGGACAGGGAGTCTGTGGCTAGGAAGGTTTTGCCATATGACCATGCTGTGGATGCCGCGAATGCAAAACCTGGATTCCTGCTTTTCCCTTCTCCCAATCCTGAAAGGGTGTTTCAGAGGTGAGAACAGCAGTGCAATCCCTCTTATCTCTGATTCTGGGCCCATAGCCTGCTTCCTCATTCCACAGGACTCTTGCTGATCTGCACTTTACACTCTATTACTTGTAGTTGGCAGGCAGTATTTGTAAAGCAGTCAGATGAGGGGGAGGAAATCTGGTTATTTAAATGCCATTTAAATATTTCCCCCCTCCTACCTTTCACCCCCAAATTCTTTTCTGAGATGTTTAGAAATGACCCCTCTGAATACACCTACAGGAATCTAAAAGGGAATCCAAGGAATTTTTCCTGTTTCCTGTGTTCCCAAGCTGGGGCTGCAATAGGTGTCCCAAAACCAGTAGCCTGTTCTGGCAGCACTGGCAGACCCAAAGGCAGGAACAAAGCTGCACATCCAGCAGTACAACTTACTCCAACTCCTCTCTCTTCTCCCTGTTTGCCTACGAAGTTAGAGATTTTTAATTTCTTTTCAGATCAAGACTTGAGGGCAAACTCTGATCACATTTCCAATTTCTTTGAGGACTAACAATGAACATACCGTTGAATTTCTCCTTTGTCACATGACTCCAGGAGCCAAGGCTTAACAGCACAGCCATGCAGTGCAATTCTGCAAGAGGTGGCGATGCTATGCCTGGGAGCCGTTGTTCTCTTACTGTCATGGCTAAAACAGTCACGGGGGGAGAGAGTGAAATGATTTCTAGGCCACCATCAGATGGTGGACAGCCTAGGTCAGAGGTAGAGGGCTCAGCAGTTTGAGCAACAGATGCATCTCCTGGCTTTTGGGTACTGTGACGGTGGAAAGTCCCTTCTACAATTTCACACTACCTCTGTACTTTCCCACAGTGTTTCAAGCACTGAATAGTACCTCTAGGCGACAGTGATTGATCTTTTGTGTTGGTAATTTATTTGATCGCCTGCCTCTTCATCCATTCTGGCTGCTGCCTTCCTATTCCAAGGAAAGATCTGTTCAGCTGCTAATGCAGGGTTCCCATTTCAATAGGCTTCAGCCTCCTGCTGACATTTTGGGGCAGCTTTAGGAAGTGGAAAAATTAGTCAAGGTTGCATTTTTTGGATGTGCGTGGGTATAACTTGAGAGGAGGGTGGAAGGGAAGGGGGGTCTCATATATGAAGAAAATCTTTTAACTCCTGACTAACTGCACTGTCTTGTGTCTTCCCATCCTTCCTCTAGCCATGCTTTTTGAAGGTAAAGGGTCACAAAGGATGTGGGGCTGAGAGGGGAGGTGCAGGCTTTGCCTTCTGTGACAAAAGGAGGATGAAGCCAGTCCACAGGCCATATGAGTTGGGTCACTGATTTTTTTTTCCCCTCCCCTTCTTCTGGTGTTCAGTGGATCTACTTGACACAAGCACTGCACAGGGCGAACTGGGCTGGCTTCCAGACCCTCCAGAAGTAGGGGTGAGTAGACAACGTCAAGAAAGGGAAGCCACTGGGCGTATTAAATGATGGAGAAGTGTAATCAAAATTGAAATTTCACCCTGCCTCCCAAAATTGGGCTTCTGCAGCTCCATCCTCTCCTGGACATTGTATGCTTTGTAAGTCTCTCTCCCTTGCAGCCTCTTCACCTCTGCAGCCTCACCTGCTAGCCAGCTGTTTGAGGACTGGTGCCTCATTGACTTCCAGTAGCTGTTCTGATGCCTATTGACTTCCAGTAGCTCCCAACGATTAAACATGTCCTTGAAATATAGTGTTTCCATGAAGTAATAAAACTTAATGGAGAAAAAGGAAAAAAATCAAATCGTCACCCAGTTTTTCATCCTAACATGTTGCAAATGCATCTTATGTCTCCTATTCCAGGCAAACAGCCATGGCAGACGTACTTCTGTCTCCAAGTCTCTTAAGAATTTAGAATCTTTGTCTGCTTAAGGTTGTTCTGTCTTTTTTCATCTTGAGTACTAAACTGAATGATTCAGTTACATGTTTCTTAAATCAGCAGCTGACTGAAGAAGTAACTGTTAACTCATGGGGCAGCAAGCTGGCCTACTGGGTGGGCTGCAAGGTTCTAGGACTTTACACACAGCCCTAATGCTGTGTTTGGCCCACACAGCTGATGATGAGAGAGGCATTTCCCTTTGTTTCATGACTGTAAAATTGAGTTGATGGAAGTGCTTCAAAATTTACTCCTGAAACCACTGCAAAATTGGACCCAAAAATACAGCTGAGCTCTCAGCTATTTTTGTACAAGTACAGCTATTTTGCATCAAGTACAGTTGAGCGGCCCCTCTAGCGTCATAGCCTACGTTATTGGAGATGGCTTCCTTTGTAACAGCAGGACTGTGGGAGTGGTGGAAGGAAGGCACAAAGAAAAGGGAATTCAGGGACTACGCTGCAGTACTTAGAAGTACATGTATTAATACATAGTTCCAGTTCCTCATCCATGCTCTTACCTTTCTAGCAAGCCCCAAGCTCCCTGATGGAGAAGGAGTCTTTACCCTTGCTGCTTATAAAATAGACCTGGGTTCAGCCTGTTCCTAACTAATTTTCATAACTTTCCTCTGTAATGCACTGTGGCTGGTTTAAATTCACCCCAGCTTCCTCCTACTCCTGGTAGTCTTGCTGGGTGAACTGGAGCCAGTCAGAGGGGTTCTCCTGTACTGGCATAACTGCACTTGTTTCATTAGTACAGCTGTTTTGGTTATTATTATTATTATTATTCTACCCTACTCAAAACAGGTGCCCTAGTGAGACATATATAGAATCATAGAATCATAGAATCTTCTAGGTTGGAAAAGACCTTTAAGATCATCCAGTCCAACCATTAACCTACACTACCAAGCCCACCTAAACCAATGTAGATCATGTTTTGCCCATTGTTCCCTTTGTTGTCCCCATCAACTGTCTGTGTGGTAATTTTAACTCAATACTAGGCTCCAGGCATGTTCAGGATGAAGTCTGCCTGTTGAAGAGATTGGAAGAAAACACTGAAAAGTGCATTCTAAAAATAATCTGACCGAAAGGAGACAAAAGCTTTGTTACAGAACATCTGATTTTGCACAGTAGGTTCACAGCAGTGCTAGGAGTTGGCATACCCTTCTGCTTGTGCTACATCTCCTTTTTAAAATACGTATATTTACAATATAGTAGTTGTAACTGGGAATTGTAGAAGATGCTGGAAGACATGGCCTGAGAGCAATCTAAACTAATGGATCAGGATACTGATGACTGATAAACTAACAGAGGATGAAGAATAGATTCATTGACTTCTGATGAGCAACTCTTTTGCAGGGATTTGTCCAATTACGTCATTTCCCAATAACTGTTAGGTGGAAGGCTGACAAATTGCCACAAGCAAAAAGGGGAACAATGGGCGATTCTCTTGGAATCAGAACTTCGAACAACTGTTTCTGAAACCATTCTTCCAAAATGAAGAACTGAATATGTTTGAAAGAGAACTGAGATTAATTCAGAACATTTTTTGACACAAAAGAGCTAAGATTAATACTGAATAGTCAGACTAGCTTGATTAGTAACAGGCTGGAAACATCTGAGCTGTATTGCATGCAGAGTTGAAGGGTGTATTTCATGTAACACTGCTACTTGTACCTAACCTCACATGCCAGAGAACTCCCATCTGTAAGCTGGATTTGTGTCAATATGCTTATCACACAGAGGAGGAATTTGCTGTGAGGAATTTTGATGCTTTATATGGACAAAGTCTCTGAGGCATAGCTCAGAAGAGGTTGGATAATTCTGTGGAGGCAGAATTACACTTTGTTTTCTCCTCACTTTTAGCTACTGACAATGGATGAGGTGGCTTGCCATGTGTGACTATTTCACAGTCAGACTTGGTCTGTATCCAGTACAGACAATGCTTCTATTAACACATGCTCAGCCTAAGAACACCAAGCTGCGTACCAGGCAGTTTTGGACAGCATGGGTCATTTTTCTGGACTCCTAGAGTACATTAACTGGCAGTGAAATCTTGCCTAACCTTAAAGGTGGTCTTTAAGTGAAAGTGTCTGTACTTTACGTAAAGTGTCTGTAGAAGTTGGTTTGCTAAAAGGTTTGTGCTCGCTTGCTTTGTAATAGCTGTTTAGAAAGGGTTTCATTTATTTTAGGCTACTATTGGAAACTAGGCCCTTAAAAAGGCAGATTGTAGTTCCTATAATCACTTTCTTATCTTCCTTACCACCCCCTCCTCATCTAACAAATTCCTTGATAAATTTTTTGTCTCTGAACTTTTGAGATAGCAATACCAGTTGGACATAGGGAGATGTATGTACTAGTGATAGATTCCTGTCTTTTAACATATATTACAGAGCTAATGATGATCACTTTGAAGGTGTGAGGAGTCCAGAATTTACTTGCTCTGACATTTTTTTAAGGCTCCCCATGCTGCAAAAACAGCCTGGCTACTTGAACTGATTTCAAAAATCACTGAAACTGTCCAAAAAGGACTTCTCAGATCCTATCATGAACAAATTCATTTACTGGGCATTGTAGCATTGCTTCTTGGCAGCTTGTAAAATAATAGTATAAAAAGTTATCTATCTCTATTTTGCTTTCAAGTATAATTGCATCAGCTTTGAAAAGATGGTAATGAGTAGTCATGTTATCCTCTTGCATTTTGCTTTTAATAGACAAGGCCCTGAGCAACCCAACCTAGCTTTCAAGTTAGCCTTGCTGTAAGCAAGGGATTGGAGTAGAGACCCAAAGGTCCCTTCCCACCTAAATCTTTCTGTGCTTAAGTGATAGTTTTGCATTGTTCATTAGCATTCTGAGCTTGCATTTTAGCCCAGGCACAAAAGGCCTTCCCAGTTTTACCTGTTCTAATGTTTGAGCTCTGTAATATCTGTTCCTATGGATTTTCTGTATCAGTTTATGTAGGCCTATGATACAACATACTGGGCAATCCAATATTTGTCTTTAGTTGCTATGGTTATTTCACCCCCAGCTTGTGGGCCTATGTTGAAGTTTTCCTTTTGTCCACTATTTCCAATTTCTTTTCTGTGTGTGAATACTATTTGCATAATCCAGTCATACTTCCATGAGTATATGTAACTACTTAAGTTCCTAGCCATTTGTACTGTAGGATGCTGTATACTGGGCCTCTCAATATGACTTTCTGTCTCTATGCTGCTGAATGGATTATAAATTAAACACACTTTATTGTTTTTTAGCTGGTATGTTTTCTTGGGAGGCATGCTTTCACCAGTTCTACAGCTGTCTGCTTATAAAAGAGCCCTTTTTCACAGTAACTTTGTTTTTACATTGGATATCTGTTATTTCAGAAATGACATGAACTCTGCTGCTGCCACTAATTGCCAAATTGTGTCATATTTATTTAGATTAAAGGTTCAGCAATGCTCAGTTCTCAACTGGTGGCTGGTTTATGGAGCTTATTATTCCCAAATGATATTCCTGCATGGATCATAGTATTATTAAAGTTTTCAGATTATTTTCTTAGTCTCCTTTCTAGGCTGCCATTATTCTCAGTCTCCTATGCATGGTGAAGTGGAGGACATAATTTTTTCTGCCTATTCCATACTCCTGCTTGCTTCCAGACATACTTCAAAGTGTTGCTATCAGTTTCAAACTTTCTACCAGGTCTCCCAGTGTGCATGGCACCTGATCTGCTCAGCTTTTCCAAAGTCTACCTTCACACAGGACTAAGGATGTGCATTTAATCCCAGTGACCTAATGTATCCCAGAGACTATTCATAAATAGCCATAAACTGGAACTGTTGTGGCTCCAAAAACACTTGAAAAACTTTGGCAATTATGTCATGTCTGTGCAGTTCTGCACCCTGTGTTTCACAGGAGGTCTGATTACGAACATAGCAGCTGCCAAAGCAATGTGAATGCAATATGAGTAAGCCAATGCTCAGATTTTTTTTTTTTTTTGACGCCGTTATTTTCCTATTAAATCCCAGGCATAGTAGAAATTCTACACTGCTCAATTATTTTCTTTAGGTAATAGACGAGATAAAGTACCTGTGATCTGTCAGCAACTTTTGTATCACAGACCACACGATAATGTTTCTGTGCCGTCAGGTTCTAGCAAGGCGAGGTAGTGTTCCACTGGACTAAGAGGTCCCAGATGTTAGTAATAGCTGATGGCTGGTTTCTGTTCCCACCGCTTCTGCTCAGATAGGCCTGGTCATGAAGCAAATACTGTTGTGGGCCACACAGCCCTCAACCTGTAAGTTGTTCCAGTACAGCACTCCTATTTCATTAAACCAGGGCAGTTCACTTTTAATCGGACTTCTTGGTATCTTACTTAGATAGTCTTACTTGGAATGAGTTTCAACCAGTCAGCTTTTTGTAGTATCCAAAGATGGTGTGAAAAATAACCATCAAAAATGCTATTGTGTGCATCTCTTCTGACAACTGCTGACAATGCATGTCCTTTAAGATCTAACTCAAAGGGATGTCTTCACCTCTGAACCTGGAATCAA